AACGATAGAAAGTCACCAGCAGCTTGTGTTTAGTTTCCGCTGCTGGGCCTTTTTGACCAGTGCTGAGGTGTTGAGACTGACCATGAGAGATCAGCAGAGATGTGAACCCCAAGGAAGGACTCCAGTCGCTCCACACTTTGGCCGTTGATGTACAGGGAGGCAGGGGGGGCTCTGTTCCGCCGAAAGTCCAGGATGAGTTCCTAAGACTCAAACAAATGAAGCGACATGTAACCTGTCCATTTTACGAAGAACTGGATCGTATTTTCGGAGACAAGCCCAGCGTTTAGCTGACATCCGTAAACACTGAGCACATTCGCTGTGTGTGACGTCGTTCTGTAGTCTGTGAATGGGCCACTAGGTTGGGTTCACGTGACATCGCAACCTGCTGGGCTCCCTATTTGTGCGTTAATTTTTTTAAACTAACGCACAACTTTTTAAACACCTTCACTAGAATCATCAGACTCTTGAACTAAAAGTCAAATATAGCGGAAAACTACCACTACATGACATCACAAGTTGGAACAGAGCATTTGGAGCTTTGAAGATGTATCCATGGATTATGTTATTAGATAGACGGACAGTTTCAGTTGCTCGCTGCGGTCTGCGGGCTTCGTCAGAGTGCTGGAGAGTACTACATTATGAAAGAATTAAATTAAAATTAAATCTTGTGAAATCCTGTAGATTAGAGAGTTAAACGTTTCTAGTATTTTGAAGTGTCATGTGAAAGTTCCAGTTTCACACAATCTTTAATTTCTCCATAGTTGATGATGAATTGAATAGATATTGGTGGTTTTAGATTCTATAATGCGATGATGCCATACTAACAGATGTGGGAAAGAGACACACTTCCCATAAATACATTGTATTTGTCATGAAATATCTAAAAGATGAATTCACAAACTTTGAACTTGATGATGTCTATTATTGACTACACCCACAAATTCACTCTATTACAAAGAAAATGTGCAGTACAATATTATGAACAATATTCATTTTTGGCCTATAAAATGTTGTGATATCATCTGAAACCTACCAATGGACTATGGCAGAAGATACGTTTACACAGAGCCGGGTATGTCGAGAAACGAATATTTCCCTCCCTCCATTTTCCAAAATAACATCGTGCACACAGCATCGTTTTCAAAAAAGTTTTAATTTACATCAATGCCCATAAATACTCCATCGAGCGCCGTCATAACTACACCAAACCTCTGGGCGGCACCTGGATTAGATTCAAACCTGTAGCATTTATTTCATTACAGTTAAGTATGACTCAAAAATACCTTGAAAAACGTGCATTACTGAGCAGGCTCGCCTCTCCACAGATCTGTTAAAGAAGTGGCAAAATTGCTGACCTCCGAGCCTCATTGGTCTCTGGTGATGGATAAGAAACATCAGCTGTGTGGGTAAATACAAACACATGAAAGTGTTTCACCAGAAGAAATGTGACTGCTGCTCTGATGCTTCCATCATCATCATCATCAGAGCAAAAGGTAAACATTGGTCGTACTTTTGACGCATCAGCTCCTAGAACCTAGAACTCTGTTTATCTCACTTTACACGCAAACGCCAAACTGTAGTTTTCCAGAATCTCCACTCTCATCTGAGTTTTTAGAAAGATTCTTTTTCAGGTGAATTCATTATTTGCGTGTAAAAGATGGGTACAAGCACATAGAGCATATATATGAGTGGACATAGCTAAAGCACTCGCCACCGTGTGTCAAATAGGAAGTTCTCCAGCAGGCTCTTCCGGCTCCTTCTGACTCTGGCTCCAATTGACTTACATTGGGTGTAAACAGCAACATTGGAACAGAGGACAACAAACACCATCACTGAAAGAATGAGGCAATCGAAACACCGAAACATTCCCACGGGACTATAGACCGGGACGAAGGCTTTTATCCTCTCACACACCTGGGATACTGTTACTGATACTGAGGAAGTCGAACTGCAGGCAGCACTGGAATCATCTGAACGGACACGTCACAACAACGTCACATGACCACTCTGAGGAAGACAAAGCAGTCGAAACTTTCAGGTACTTTTTTTACTATTGTATTCTTTGTGCAGCATCTTTGATTGTTTGAAAAAGCGCTATATAAATAAAATCAACTATTATTATGAATGTATTATTAGGAATGAAAAACACACTTGAGAATACAAACTTGAACGTGGAGTGTGTGGGCTTCTACCCTGTGTTTTTAAAGTTTCATTCATATGTTAATACGCCCTGTAATTTGCCCCGTTACATGCTGTGTATGTTTTTGGACTTTGGAGTGTCAATGGTGAATGTATATGGGACAGATAAGGGGTGTATCTCTAACCTTTAGCATCTGCCAATCTGTTATGGGACACGTGTTGGGACAAAGTGCTGTGTATGTTTCCATGAAGATGTTAACTCAACAGTTATGCTGGTATAAAAGGCACCCAGTTTTTCTGTGCATCAGTGGGGGAACGCCGACTGCGTTGTCGAGGGACGACCGACGCACAGAGACGCCGCGTAGGCAAAATCATGCTGAATCAACTTGAATCTTGAGACCTGTACCTGCCTGACTCAAATAAAGAGACTTCTAACTCTCCAAGTCTCTTTCTTAAGATCCTCTGTTTAGGCTGCCTCCAGGAGAAGCTGATAAGTGTTTCCACTGCGTAAAGTGATCCAGACCCCTTTCTGCTTTCCAAAGAAGTCTGGAATTCATCTCTTTCTCTGGAACATTCAGGTAAAACAGTAACATCACCTAAAATTTACATATTGTCCTTTTAAATTCTAATTCTATCCAGATTTCGGGTGCTCTTGCTTCAGGGAGGAAGACATATTTTAGGTCAGTAAATCTCCATATATTTTTACCTGGTCCCTGAAGGGTTGACCAGCTTTTGTATTCACCCTGTGTGTGTCTGTGTGTGTGTGTGCGTATGTGTGTGTGTATGTGTCTGTGTGTGTGTCTGTGTTCCTGTCCACCCATGATAATTCCACCATTTATGAACCGATTGTCACCAAATTTGGTACGAGTGTCAAGCCCCCGTGCCCAATGCAGCAAAAAAAGTTTGGTGATGATCCGAGGTCATGTGAGGTCACACGGGTCAATTGAAAGGTCACGCCATTATAAAGGATAGACAATTTCAGCAAATTCTAAACCATCTGCGGCCTAAAATATTCACCCAATCATCACACAAGTTGACATCATTTGTATAGTAAAATATTAATAATTTTCCAGATAATCACTAATTATAACAGTTCCTTTCTCTCTCAGCATATGCTGTTAAAATTGGAATTGGCATGAAAATCATTTCCATTTCTTCTTTTTCTGGTGATACACAACACACTGATCTACAGTCACACAACTAACATACACACAACTCATGAAAAATAACATTTTGGTTCCACACTAGTAAACACAGACATTCTCATGTGTGACCAACATCACACACATGTTCATGGGCCTGTTCAGATACACACATTACATTGTGGATAAAATGATCATGTAATATGGACTGGGCTCCTCATAATCTGCTTCTGTGGTGATGAACTGACCCCACTGACGCCTCATGGGGACCAGGTTACTATCTCTGATTGTACTTTTTTTTTTGTTGTTGTTGTTTTTGTTTTTTTGCAGTTATAACTTTGGTCAGTCTCGGATCGATTCAGTATTTAAGTTACAGCTATAGAGTGAAGAGAGCCCCACACAACGTCATGTGATTACTAGAAATGGTCAATTTCCTGGAGCAATTAAGCGAACACGAAGTCGTTCTTTTAGTTTTTCAAGCTAAACAAGACCAAGTCCAAACCTAATATTGTTCTAAATAAAGGAATCATTAATCATTAAATGAATCATGAAGACTAGTTTAGTCCTTCCTGACAAACAAAAACCTTCCTGGCAAATAAAAAAAATATCTCCATGGAAAATTCAATGGACCATATACAAGAGATGTTACGCAGTGCACTTTTAAATGTGTTCTATGAATACATTTGGATTTTCTATTTTTTCAGGTAGTTTTTGCGCTGACTTGCCTGTAAAATAACACATTTTCATTCAACTATAACCATGCATTCACCCGTCATGCCCCCAGAAGTCCATGTTAAACTCCCATTTGTGGAGGTGTAATAGCAGATAAGTATAGTTTTTAGCAGCAGTTCTTTTCATCTTTCTTTCAGATTGAAATTACGGTTTTATTTCTCAGTTTAGACCACCACAAATGTTATACTAAAAGGAATAAACTATATTAATTGCTACGGAAAACTGGCAGCTGCTTACATAATTTTTGGGACACACAAGTCTGAGCATCATGAGCATTTTTTTACATTCACTGGAAATGCAGGGCATGACATAGGAATTTGAAAAGAAGGAGCTTGAACTCTTTGGAATGTTTAAATAAATCATGTTTATGTTAACTTCAAGATATCATTATCCTGGAATGTTCCACAGTATGACATTAAACAGTTTTATATATATATATATATATATATATATATATATATATATATATATATATATATATATATATATATATATATATATATATATATATATATATATATATATATATATATATCACTATTATTCAAATACAGGTGTTTTTTTAGCTCAAAAATACCTAGAAAAACAAACATTCTGACTGTGACTGTGACTGTGGGTCACCTCTCCACAGATCTGACCTGTAACTTGATCTGATTTGGTCTCAGAGAAGACAAAAAAGTTTAATGCCGTACTGTGGAACTTTCCAGGCAAAGCTCCATGGAGAAAAGCATTTGAGGGACCCTCCAGTATTAAAGTTACACAATGCACCTTTAAAGTGAACACATATGTTAGACCTGCATAGAAGATCCCTACATGACATCTCCGTGTCGATCTTCAGAAATCCCCTCCATCCCCGCGGGCTGTGTGACGGGCAGAGGCGGAACTCCTGTACTTGTATGGATCGTTTCCTCCGATGGAGTTCTGTCCCTCCCACCAGAAGAAGAAAACCTCTGCTGCATCTCTGAGAGGGTCAGAGGGGCTTTCAGTGCTTCACCAGGACACTTTTTGTGAAAGGATTTCAGTTTGATCTAAACACACACAACTTGTGTTGTTACAATTACAGCATCAGCGCATAGCCCACTGAAGGTGCTCTAAAGCCGTGATGAATGTGTCAACACACCAATACTGTTTACTTCAGGGGCTGTGGGACTTTGTGAGATCCGGTCAGGAGGAGATCTTGTTGTCCCCTTACCTGCCCGCTTTCAGTGCGTTTATCACGCACGTCCTCCTGTGCGTGCCGTTCTTTATTATGGACTTACTGTCGTGCGTCTGCCCTCTGATCCGCTCGTGGAGAATCGATACGGGTTCGGTGCCGAGCGTGAGATGCTGGATGGAGTGTTTGGGGAGGCTGACTGTCCGGTACCTGACAGTGGTGCTCCCCGTCACCGCGCTCCTGCAGTGCGCCCTGAAGACCCCCGTGTTACCCGAGCGAGCCCCATCCTGCTACCGGTTCTGCGTGGAGGTGCTGGCGTGCTTTCTGCTGTTCGACGCGCTCTTCTTTGTCTGGCACCTCTCCATGCACAGGTAAGAGCACGCTCTCCTTTTTAGGATTATGAAGACTAAGGCAAATTATGATTATTGCAGATACTACAAAATGAACCTGTTTGGCGTGAAGGAAATGTATGTCATATTTTCAGCCTGAGCCACTCTCAGAGTAAAAGCTGACTACAGCCTTAGGCTGAGATGTATAGCAAAAGAAAATTAAATTCAGTCAACTGGAAAAAAAAAAAAAAAAAGTTTTTTGAATGAGACTCTCACAAAACCTTTGCTCAGTTCACAGTATAAAATTTTTCTTTTGCTATGATCCTACCTTGACCACTGAGGGATTACACAGACATCTAAGATGTCATGACAATTTAATGTAGTTAGAAAGAGGAGAGCCTCATGTTGACCACTAGAGAGAGTCAGAGCGCGTTACAGAGCGGGACCGGCTCAACCTCTGTCCCGGTCAATCAGGAAGAGAGCGCGCCGCTCTCAGACTGTGACAGGGCAGCTGGAAATTCCCAGTTGAGTCCTCGGACTTTCAAGTCATTTTTGGACATGTGTTTGTAATGACGTATAGTGTGATATTAATTTGAAATAGTAAGACGGTCTGGGACGCAGGTTATTGGTTCCTAACTCAAAAAGCAAAACTCCAATAAGCACAGTTGAACTAAAATGCTTTTATTATATAAGAATGAACTTAAGTTACAAACAGCATGGCCTACTGTCTTATTTGCATAGTCCACATGAATCAAAACCTTGCACAATTAAAAGTAGAAATAAAAAAAAAATCTATTGTATGTATGTATGTATGTATGTATATATTTAATAATTAATTTCACATTTAAATTATGTCCAGAAGAATTGACAAAAAGAGTGAAATACTAATATAAGATGTTTGTCCAGATGTAAACTACAGGATTAGCAGAGTAAAACAAGACATTTAGTTGTTTGTGGAGATAATTACACTTAAAAAATTACAGCTTTTGCTAATTGCGTCTGGTCAAACTGGTTTGCGTGGTGTTTTCACAGCACCACCACTGGCCCTTTAATAGTCCTGCAGAATACTTTGACAAATGAGTCCGCTTTGGGGTTGTTCGGGGTCTTTTTTCTCATGGGTCGTTTTCTCAAGTTATCACGGGGCTCCAGTCATTATGTAAGTGACAGAGGACATATGACCCGGACAGGACGGGCCCTAAAGACAAATGTACTGCATCTGGGTCTGTATAGTAGCCCACATAACACATAATAGGATTTAAGCACCAGGAGACCAGGTTTGCAGTAATCATGACCACAGCCCCTCAGCTAATCCTCTGAATTGTTAACCTCCCGACCGTGCAGTCTCCAGTCTTGTTTTGAAACTGCACGGACATCGATCACAGAGACTCTCCCTCTAAGAAAATGTCAAGAAACGCCTGAGTTCATTTCTGTTTTTACATGAGGCAGTGGGGTTCTGTGTGGGGAAGCACTGAGTGTCACGGTAATAGACTTAGACAAACTTTATTGATTCACCAGGGAAATGACTTGGACACAGAAGCTCACTCAAGACATTATATTACAAATAAGGTCGAATTATATAAATGTTTATGTACAAGTAAAGTAAAAACAGAAACTTTGTGATATAAATACAGTATAATAGAATGGTTGATGGAGCTGGTCTGGACTTGAAAATGTGAGTCTTATTTAGGAAAACACTGATTTAAAGGTTTGATACATAATTTTAAAGCCCAAAAAAGACTAAAATTATATAAAGTGTATTTTCATAGTGTGAGAGGCAGACAGGAGACAGAGAGAGACTTGCAGCAAAAACATCTGCTGTCTTCATGGGGCAAAATAAAACGAAAAATATATTTTGACTTCAGAGGCAGAGATAGGGTGAGGAACTCACTGACAGGGGAGGAACTCTGAGTAGAGCCGCTGCTCCTCCAGTTCAGAATTGGCTCGGGCATCTGCTCTGGATGCCTGCAGGTGTTCCGGCCATGTCCCACCTTGAGGAGGCCCTGGGGAAGACCCAGGACACGCTGAAGGGACTGTGTCTCTTGACTGGCCTGGGAATGCCTCGGGGTCCCGCAGACGAGCTGAAGGAAGTTGATTTATCAGCTGGTTTCACTTTGTGAAAACTGTCTGATCTTGCAACATCAGGATTTGTTTGCTCAAGGGTAGACAGGTACTTTTTTATTTAACCAATCGCTGCTATTTGGTCGCGACGTATGTAATGCACCAGAACGCTTACTTATGTCCAAGTAATTGTCGGTACAACAGCAAACAAAGCAGAGAGTGAAAATCCTCGACCACACAGAATGTTTGGCTTCGTCTACATCCATCTCGACCGCTTTGTTTACTGTTGTGTTGTACCACAAAAGGGACCCAGACAAGCGCTTGAGTTTGACATCATGGCTTCACAGCTCTTCACTGATTGGCCAGTGTGGGTCTACAACTTCCAGGGTTCTCGCAAACTCTCTACTGTATTCTGATTCCTGACCTAGTCGCTGGAGAGAAATGAAATTGAGTGGAGACAGTAGGTGGCACCAGCCTGGCAAGGAGGAAATGTCCGGGGTGAAGGAAGTCTGGGAGTCCCTGCTTAGATAAGTGGAAGTAAATAGATGGATGGAGAGTATATATGTTGACCATGAGAGCATTTAAAGGGCACAAGGAAAAGGCCATGAGGCTTGAGCACCGCCTGGGCTTTATCTCCAAGCAGTAAAAGCTTCATGGAGACTAACTAAGTGGCAGATCCTCCACCTCTACCCTACACTGTTCACTTTAAATGAAAATGATCTTTAATATAATTTGAAATAATGGCCTTGATACCCAACAGGAGCCTTATAAGCCAGATGTTTCCATTAGTGTTCACAGGTCCAATAGCAGCTGTGTAAATCTCAGCCTGCCACATTTTTCCATTTTGTCATCCTCCTAACCAGTCTCATGTGTTTGTCTTACCCAGAATCCCTTGGCTCTTCCGCAAAGTGCACCAGGAGCACCACAAGAACAAGGCCCTGATCGCTCTGTCCGCCCAGGATGCCAACGGGTGGGAGCTGCTGTCCCTTCTCCTCCTGGCCCTCATCAGCTCCTGGTGGGTGGGGTGCCATCCCCTGAGCGAAGCCCTCTTCCACTTCCTCAACAGCTGGCTGGCCATAGAGGACCACTGCGGGTACGACCTGCCGTGGGGCCTGCACCGACTGCTCCCCAGTTTAGGACTAGGGGGCGCTCCGTTCCATCAGCTGCACCATACCAAGCACAAGTGGAACTACGCCCCCTACTTTACGCACTGGGACTTGCTTTTTGGCACGTACAAACAGTGAGCCGTAGATAAGGTTCAGTATACCAGTTTATCACTGTTTCTACGTGGTTTGTACCTGTTTTAGCAGCTGGTTCAGGGTTTATACATTTCAGGACATAAACAAGTAACCAAGCCAATGAAAAAAAAACGTAAAAACAGGCAGCTACAGAAACTTGAGTCAGTCCATCTTGCCGATTTCGTCTGATTTTGGAAGCCAAACACGGCGGAGTCTGGTTAGTACGTGAACGGAAAACCGCTTTTAACCTCCAAGAGCAACAATGGGGCAGCAGTGGCTCAGGTGCTCACTGTTTTCGTGTCGTTCAGCAAGACACTGCTTAGAAACACTGCGCAAGGCAGCTGTGGATAAAATAGAAGCTTACCGCCAACGAGTATGGAGTGAATGAAGAATGCACGACTTTTTTTTTATATATTTTTTGAGCCCACACAATACTAGCAGGGCATTAAAACTGAGAAAGATTTCGCCAACTTGTGGGAATCTAACCTTTGAATAACAAACGCACTTTTGCACTTTAGCACTTCAGCACTTTGTATAAAAAATGCATTAAAAAAGAGTGCTTTTTGGGGGGAAATGTTATTTTTCTAAGTGTGCAAAGATTTTAAAAGACTCTGTACCTGATTTTTTAGTCTCTTAAAAACTTTAAAAAATGGAAATAGCTCATCATAAAAGATTCGCGATGATCCAAAGTTATTCCTCGCTTACTGTATCCATTCCAACCATTCTAATTATTCACCGTGATGCGTTTCGAAGTGCTGACATCAACTAGCATGCTAACGTGCACTTCCTCATACGACCGACTCTGTTAATATTGGTTGTATATAAAGCAAGATTATTATGGACCTGGTCTAATAATATGAAGCGCAGTTTTGCTGTGACGGTGAAACTAACAAAAACCAGCATGTTAACGGGCACTTCCTGATTACTGGACAATAAAATCAAGCTCCAACTAGTGCATATTAATGAGGCATGATTTAAAATGCGTGCACTTCCTCAAACGGTAATTTCTCTTAATATTTGTCGAATATGAATTAGGGGTGTAACGATACTCAAATTTCTCAGTACGATATTATCACGATATGCATCTGACGATACGATATTTATTGCGATAGTGATTTGAGGTTAATATAATTCTAGATTGGACACTTTTAAAATACCTTGATAAGATTTTGGTGTGAATTATTTTTGTCTTAATCCCAAGAATTCAAGTCAAAAACATATTTCTTCATGTTGTCTGTGCTGAAATGAATCATGGGATATGTAGTTTCTGATGTTTATAAGATTTTGCTACTATAAAACATTTAAGCAAAGGAACTTATAATTCGATTGTGAGACTTTTGACGATACGATATCACGATATTTCAGGTATTGTTACATCCCTACTACAAAACAAGATTATTATGGACCTGGTCAATAAAACCTTATAAAGCAGAGTTTTGCCAAGCATGCTAACACACCCTTCCTGATTATCGGACAATAAAATGGTTTATAAGTAGCAGACAGACCACTGCAGACTTATTTTGATCTCAAGAGCCGCTTGTACGAGCTGTACCGGGGCAAGTCAAATACAAAACTCAAATACGAAACTCAAAAATCAGGTACAGGATCCAGCAATATTCGAAACAATGGGGCATTTCAGACCAAGCCCAAACTGTAATGTGATCTGAAGCTCGGAGATACGCATCAGGATTTTTTATGAATGACTTTTGGTGCGTCACTCTTTTATCTGTAATTATACTCAAATTAATGGAGCGTGCTGCAACCTGAACCGTCTTTACTGCATATCTAAACAAACGCTACTGAAAGAGACGAGACATTTCATCATTTAGGTCAGAGAGTGAAGACAAGACACTGCAGGTGAAAAGGAAAAATGTGTAAGTGTAAGTGTAAGTGTGAGAGTAAACGTAAGTGTAAAGATATCAGTTTGAAACTTCTCCTGGGCTTTACTCATATAAATGTAAGAAAAAAATCTATTATGAGTTTTTCAGCATGTAATCGTTAAGGCATTTTATGTATAAAAGCTGACAAAATTTACCATTTTTGTGATTCAAGAGCCAGGTTTAAATGTTGCTTCTTTTTGTTGACATATTAGATGATAAAAAATAAAAAAATAAAAAAATAATATAAATACATATACAGGGAGTTTTGGATATTATTTGAGAAAGCAAAATTTCAACTCAGTTTTTAGTTAAAGCTTCAATAAATCAGGCTTGGAATTTGATTAAAAAAATATATATATATATAATCATTGTTAAATACAAGAGGGGTGATTCTTATGTCCCATTCACACATGTTTGAATTTATTTTTAGTCTTTCTGCTTCTCCATAATCTCCAAATGCTCTGTTCCACTTTGTTTATTTATGCATTTATTTATTTGTGATGTCGTAAGGGACTATCTTTTACCTTTTCTTTAGCTGATTTGCGGAAATTCTGGGACTGAAATGATCCAAACGATTCTAGTGAAGGTGTGTGGAGTTTAAAAACACAGTGGAGCACTTCTTGCATTACCACATGACATCACAAGATGGAACAGAGTGTTTTCATATGCAGCTTTAGTATATATACTGTTTTTTTTGTTTTGTTTTTTTTTGCACTATGTAACTTTTGTCTGGTCTGTCACCTGTTTGTGTCCATGAAGATGCCATTGCTTTGCCTGGAATGTTCCGCAGTGTGGCATTAAACGTATGTACACTGAGATGATGCCACTGTAGACCCGGTGAAAGGTCAGATCTGTGAAGAGGCAAGCCTGCTCACATTCAGAATGCATGTTTTTCAATGTCATTTTGAGGGTTAAAGCCATACCGCGGAATATTTTCACAAAAGCGATAATAATTAATAATAATGTTCAATTCAGCTGGCTTGATTGTGAACATTGTGGAACTTTTATTTTTTTTCTTTTATACAATTCAATTCAAAGTCTTATTATTGATTTAGATGACTGAAACTGGTCAAATAATCACCGAAATCACTGAATTATTCCCAAATTCAAGCACTCATTTGAAAATTTGTGGTTACCTAGCAACCACAATGTAAACAAAGGCCAAAACTTGTTAAAATTACACAATGGATAAGCTTAGACTAATAAAAAAATAAATGGCAGCATGTTTATTTTGTTAAATGAAGGTTTAAACTGTTTTAGAACTCTGTATTTTTGTATTTTTTTGTTTCAACTTTTTTGCAAAAACTTAACTTAAAGGTGCACTATGTAACTTTTTGGTTAGGGATCCATCACCTGCTTGTTTCTATAGATATGTACCTTATATTTGTTCAATTACAGGTGGTTTTATAGTGCAAAATACAAAGAAAAACATTCTGGATTTGCATTTTGATGTGTAACTTGGTTTGGTTTGAAGACAGAAAGCTTTAAAACCATACTGTGAAACTTTCCCGACGAAGCAAAAACATCTCCACGGAGAAAATGTTACACAATGCACCTTCAAGTAAAACTGTGGCATTATTTTCCCACCAAACCATATCATAATTAGAAAAATATGAAAATCTGTCAAATGCACTTTAACTAGCCAAGGGTTATTGTGATTTTAAATGGCTTCAGTTTTCAACAAATGCTTTCAGTAATGGGCTCCAGATTTACCCCAGTGAGCCAAAGCCGACACAGAACAGATTGTATATTTAAGATTTACTGTACTGAAACGCTTTTGCACTGCTACAGAAAAAAAGTTTTGAATGACTGTAAATGATGTGAACAGTGTGTGGAATCATGGGAGTGTAAATATGCAAGTGAAGTGTTATAAATGTTTATATGTATTGTAGCAGGATGTGAGTAACAATAAAGATTATGTACAAATGTGAAGTGAGTCTTGTTGAGTTTTTACACATATAAGGGGTTCTGTGAGGAGTTTGCATGTTGTGTCTGTGTCTGGTTGGGTTTCCTCTGGGCACTAAAGTTTCCTACATCAACCCAAAACATGCGCTATAGATCAGACCCTCCGGTTGAGACAGTCCTGGGACAAAAATGTGACTATTTTTTCTGCATTTTGCATTATGCTTTATTTAACGTAAGTCTCTTGCTATTTCTGCTTCTTATTTAAAATTTATTATACAAGGTGTCCCAAAAAATTTGACATCATTTTAAAAGTATTTATCTTGAAAACTATCAAGTCTACCTTAAGAAACTGAACAGTTTAGGTGTTCATCATAAGTTTATTCTGAGACTTTATTTGCCAGTGTTAAGACCCAGCTCAATGGGGTCAGGGAAGTAACAAAAAATCCAAGGTGGAGAATGGAATAAATTAAGTAATGTTTAATTCACTGTTACTGTTCACTGGAATGTTAAAGATAAATTTACAAAAACAAACTAAAATAGGTACAGAAAATAACCAAACCATACAATAATATAATGCTGGCCCTCAAAACCATATCAAATATGTATTAGAGCTGTTGTTATTATTTTATATTTTGCTTGTTCTGAATTCAATGTTTAAGTAAAATTATTATTAAACATTTATTTTAATAAGAAATGGTTTAACATTATATATCTCGAAAGAAGAGAAAACATGCAGATGTTGTTGAAATTTTTCAATAAATATTTAGTTTGGCCCATGGCTTAGTCCCAGTTTTTCATTTTAACCCTATGAGAGTTTGAGTTTGACACCACTGACCTGACACAATTAACACAAAGAAAAAAAACAGGTCACGCAGGTCTATACAAAAACGAGGGATTAATCTAAGGGACACAGTAAAACTAAATCACAAGTGCTTCAAAGTAAAACCTAACCCTAAACAGAACTCAACAAGTGTCTCAACACAAAAAAGTCAGACATGTACTAATAACGAAAGAAATGACTGACACTAAAGAGACACACGGACAAACACAAAATGTCAGACTGGCGACAAAGGCCACAGCCCCAAACAGGCGCCGGCATTCTCCCTAAACAGGGGGCGGTGGCTGCAGGTGAGGTGGGCGTAGACAAGCCCCAACAATCACGGACCAGGACTTTGATGCAGGAATCAGGACAGCCACCAAAAGGAATGAAAAGAACACATAACAAGTTAGAACTGGAGGCCGTAATAGTCAGTTGGGGAAGTTTTTCCAGATTTTGCACTGAAGGCTGCACAGTGTTGGGTGAGTGTGTGCGAGCATGTTCCAATATGCAAAAATACTTCTCTTTGGGAGTGAATAGGTCAACCTGAAAACAGAACAATAATAAAACATTCAATAAAAAAATCTTGATCTGTTTCTATAGATTATGTGAAATCGCCAAAATCAATGGAATGCAGTTTTTTGGGACAATCTGTACAATTTCCCTTGGTTATTATAATATGCTGTGAGCTAGTGTCCAAAAAAATTCCCTTGTGGATCAATAAAGTTTGTCCAAGTCTAAGTCTAAATGTGCTTTATAAATAAATTTGACATTGAATATAACCTTAACGTTCTTCCAAATGGCCAGATAATACAGACTGGAGTAATTAACTTAAAGGTCCAGTATTGACATCGACTCCTGTGAACATTAAGCCATGTTATAATGTTGTTGCCTCATCAAAACATTGTCTGGAGCTGTTTTTGTTCCATTCACACATGACTAATCCTTTATTATTAGTTGGTCTACTTCTCCAAAGCTCAAAATGCTCTGTTCCACTTAGTGATGTCCTGAAGCTGTAGTTTTATGGTGTTTCAACAGCCACTTTTTACCAGTAGAGATTGGCAATTCCAGATCTGAAATTATCCAAATGATTCTAGTGAAGGTGTGCAGAGCTTAAAAACACAGTGAAGCACTTCCTGTATGACCACGTGACATCACAAGGTGGAACAGTGTTAATTTTGAGAGAATCGGCCTAAATATACATGGTTTGTGTGTTAAATGTGTGAATGAAACAAACACAACTCCAGGTCTGTTTGTGTACAGCAAAAACTGGAGGGTTAAAATTTCAGGGTGAAATATTTCAGAGTTGTGTTATTTTAACTATTTGAAAGTGAAATGGGGGTTTGAGTTGGAGTTATTTGCCAGAGTTGTTATGGTTGACGTTAATTCAACCCCCACTAGTGTTAATTCAACTTCTCTTAGTGTTCATTTGGCTCCTCTCACCCACCAATTCAAACTCCTGCAAGAGAAGACCAGTTTGAACCAGTTTTGCACATAATTTCATCTTAAATTTATTAAAATAGAGTGTAAAAATAAAACAACTCTATGTGTCCATCCATCCATTTTCGTCCGCTTATCCGGGGCCGGGTCGCGGGGGCAGCAGTCTAAGCAGGGACTCCCAGACTTCCTTCACCCCAGACACGTCCTCCAGCTCCTCCGGGGGAATCCCGAGGCGTTCCCAGGCCAGCCCAGAGACATAGTCCCTCCAGCGTGTCCTGGGTCTTCCCTGGGGCCTCCTCCCAGTGTTAAACAGGAACTTTGGCCCAGTATTACTTAAATGACATTTCCAAAAATGTTAAATTAACTCTACAACAAACTGGACTCATATAAACTCTGATAAAATGTTAAAACTGATTCAGTGAGAGTCAGTTTTAACACTCCACTTTTTGCTGTGTGATGAGGAAACTACATTACAACACAGATCTGAAAATCGTATTAAATGGGCTCTTTAAGTTGGGTTGACCAGTCATTTAATAGCCTACCTGCATTTCTCAAGTGCCTTTAAAAATGACAGTTACATAACCAAGAACACAGATGTTGAAATGGTTTATTATATTTATTACACTGCCTTGATATGTTGACTCGAATGTTTGGCTGTTTGAATATTGTGAAATAAAAATATTCAATCTGAATGTCTGACCAAAAATATGAGTGTAGTAAATTCTTGGGAGTCTGAGGTTGATTATAACACTGTTTTTGGAGCTATGACAGACATGGTCCAAAATATGTTACTTTCAGCCCCCATTAGGAGTGTCAAGTTTCTAAAGTGGCATGTTTTCCCTGAAGTATGGAGCAAATTAGGCTTTATATGCTGGCACAGGCTTTAAAGGTGCCCCCTGCAGACGCTTGTATTCCTATTTTCAATGTCATTAGCAGTGGTGGAAGAAGTACTCAGTTTTGTTACTTAAAAGTGCACTGCGTAACTTTTTGGTTGGTCCATCACCTGGATACGTCGCCGCTTTACCCAGAATGTTCCACAGCTCTACTTTACATTTATTCAATCACAGGTGGTTTTATAACTCAAAAATATCTACAAAAACTGGCATTCTGACTGTGAGCGGTATCGCCTCTCCACAGATCTGACTTATAACTTGGTCTGGTTTGGTCTCAGTGAAGATAGAAAGGTTTAATGCCATACTGTGAAACATTCCAGACAAAGCGATGACATCTCCATGGAGAAAAGCGTTTGACAGACCCCCGCCAGAAAAGTTACACAATGCACCTTTAAGCAGAGCAAAGTAGAAGTATCATATGAAACAATCTACTTAAATAAAAGTATTAAAGTACTTGTTTTAAAATGTACTTCAAGTGTAAAAATTTGTGCAAAACAGAAACAACTGAATCGATTTTTTTTTTCCCCTAGATTTTTTTCTATGTCTCAGATCTCAAACTATAATAAAATATACTTTTATTTTTCAATCCTGTTCAAAAATGCAGTGGAGTAGAAAGTACAGCTACCTGCTCTCAGATGTAGTGAAGAAAGAGTAAAAATTCTCCTTAAAATGTACTTAATTAAAGTACACATAATTTTACTTGGACCAATGTTTTGGGACAAATCACCTTCTCAATGTTGTTTACAGGCACTTTAGCTCTCTTAACAAACAGATTCTGACCAAAAGTGAAAACCAAAAGACACAATTGAGTATCTTCTGACTCTGATTCTGACTCTTGTGAGCTTTAAATCGTGTAATAACGTTGTTAATTCCTCAGAAACAAACCTGGAGTTATGTTTTGTTTCATTCACACCTTGGAGTAATCCTGCATTGTTAGTCTGTCTACATGTCCAAACCTCAAAATGTTCTGTTCCACCTTGTGATGTGACGTTAGCTCCTTTTTACCTTTAGTTCAGCAGAGAGTGGCAATTCCAGGGCTGAAATGATTCAAATTATTCCAGTGACAGTGTATGGAGTTTAGAAACACAGGGGAGCACTTCCTGTATGACCACATGACATCATAAGGTGGTTTCAGGGATGTTTCAGGGAAGAACTAAATAATCAATCAGAGGTATTTCTTTCAATGCCAAATGGAAAAGACTCCAGGCTTCAGACATGTCCAGGCCGTACACACAGCTACTGCAACAAACCCAGGAACTGTTGACACTTTTCACTTATTACACAACCTAATGGCTTGGAAAATAATCAAATGCTATAACTGAAATATAAAAAAAACCCAAACATTAAGAGGTAACTTTTCTGGTACAAGTCCAGCTCCATGTCCCCAGAACTAGTCTCCATGTCAATCCCAGGATCATTCGGGCACTCAAACCCCTCCACCATGTTAAGGTGGCGTTCAGGGAGGGGCAGAAGAGGGAGCTGAGCCGAAAGGCAAAGCTCTCGATTTACTGGTCAATCTTTGTTTCTGCCCTCACCTGTGGTCATGAGCTTTGGGTAATGACCGAAAGGATGAGATCGCAGATACAAGCGGCCAAAATGAGCTTCCTCTGCAGGGTGGCTGGGCGCTCCCTTAGAGATAGAGTGAGGAGCTCAGTCACACAGGAGGAGCTCAGAGTAGAGCTGCTGCTCCTCCACCACATCGAGAGGAGCCAGCTGAGGTGGCTCAGGCATCTGTTCCCTGGACGCCTCCCTTGAGAGGTGTTCCAGGTACATCCCACCAGAAAGTGACCCATGGGAAGGCCCAGGACAATCTGGAGGGACTATGTTTCTGGGCTGGCCTGGGAACGCCTCGGGGTCCCCCGGAGGAGCTGGAGGAA